AACAGATTAGTTGAAGAAGTAACCATCATTAGAAATCAGTTTTCTTCAACTATTGTAAATGAAATCTCTTATTTCATTCTTCTGCCAATCCACAACAAAGCTGATTATTAAGCTTATCCTTTATAGAAGACCTAAGTCTTTTTCTCAATGTATGATGTCTGCCAGGGCAATGGTATGCACAGGTGACAGGCTTCTAAGGTAAGGATGTGGACATCAAAACTTTCTGTTCATGGAAAAGAATTATCTATTAAATGATGGCACAGTATGGTGTTTGGGTACTCATTTTCCAACCATTCCAGCAGAGCTTTTACAGTGTTTATGGCAGGAATTGGAAGGATAAGGTCATTTTTATTTCAGAGCATACTAATAAATATTATTTCAGGGCATACTAATGCATATTAGTAATGATTAAACTTGAATTTGTAATCAGTAGAAGGAAAAGTCATCCTAAGCACGTATCAACTACAGCAGTCATTCTCAACCTTCCTGATGCTGTGATCCTTTACAGTTCCTCATGTTGTGGTGACTCCAAAACATAAAATTATTTCATTGCTATTTCATAACTGTAATTTTGCTACTTTTATGAATTATAAGTTTGATTTTTTCTTTGGGACTGCTCCCCAGTAGCTAACATGGAGACTTACTATTAATTATAAATGCTTAGCTGATAGCTTAGTCTTGTTACTCACTACCTCTTACAACTTAAATTAACCATATTTCTTATCTATATACTACCACATGGTTTGGTACCTTTTTACAGCAGGAAATGTTCATCTTGCTTCTCTCTGCATCTCCTGGTGACTCTGCCCCTTTTTCATCCCTGTCCAAAAGTCCCACCTAATGTCTTCTTGCCTAGCTATTGGTCATTAGCTCTTTATTAAACCAATGAGAGCAACACATCTTCAAAGTGTACAAAAAGACTATTCCATAACAATGAATCATATTGTACATATCTGATATTCAAGATATCTGATAAGCAACCCCAAAGGGGTCTTGATCTACAGGTTGAGAACAACTGAACTAGAGTAACAGATAAAAGAATTAACACAGACAGGCAACATTGATGTATGTTCTTTGAGTACAACAGAGTCATCTCTGGATTTTGGTTAATTTTTACCAGGAAAGAAGATCAATGCTTACCAAAACCACCCCAGGCAATAACTTCCAAGTTATTCCAAGGCAATAACTCTCTCAAAAATAAGGAATCATTGACAAGGAAGCTAGCAGAGGGCACAAAGACTTATTACGGTATAGGAGTTGGAATGCAAATGGCCCCCATAAGCTCACATATTTGAATTCTTGGTCTCCAGATGGTGGAAGTGTTTCAGAAAGTTTAGGAGGTATGGTCTCTTTGGGGGGAATGTGTCATTGGTGGTAAGCTTTGAAGTTTCAAAAGCTCATGCCATTCCTAATAAGATTTCTCTGTCTGCTTGTGAATAAACATGTGAGTCCTCATCTGACTACTCCAGTACTGTGCCTGTTGGCATGTCCCCTGCCATGATGGTCCTGGACTCTAATCTTCTGGAACTATGAGGCCCAAATTAAATACTTTGTTTTGTAAGTTTTGTGTGTTTTATCACAGCAATAGAAAACTAACTAAGACATAAGACAAGCGTGAATGAAGTAGATGGGCTCCAAAAGAAGAGTGTCACTATTCAGAACTTACGGAAGCAATTAGATGAAGGCTGAGGTCTCCTCATTAGGTTGGTCCTTTTAGTGCATCACAAGTTGGGCCAGTAAGGGGTCTCCATGTCCCTCACATAATTCTTTGACCTGCCCAACAGGCAATGGCCTAACAGGGTCATGGTCACATGGGACTAGCTCATGCTCCATCATGAGCCCCACCATTACTGGGAGCTTAATTTTTGTTTCAATGTTTTATTAATGCATAATACACACATTTATGAATGTCTGATTACATGTTTCTATGTTACATAGACACAGGCTTTAAAGTGGCAAGGAACGCTTACTTGGCTTATCAAAATTTTATTAATTATGACTTTTTTCCTCATATAACTTAACAATTGCTCACAGTTTGCAAGTCAGGAGCTGTATAGAGTGCTCAAATAGCATTTATCATCAAAAATTACTTCAGAGACCAGAAAAGAACATTATATTTCTTAGAAATAGAGTCAAGACTGTTGCAAGCTGCCATGTGGGTGCTAGGAATAAAACCCAGGTCCTCTGGAAGAGCAACCAGTTCTCAAAACTCCTGGACCATCTTTCTAGCCCATGAACTTATTATTTTTTTAATTAAACTGATGGTAATGGGACTGGAGAGATGGATCAGCATTTAAGAGCCCATGTTGCTCATGCACAGGACCCAAGTTCAATTCCCAGCACCCACCTCAGGTCACTCACAACTGCCTATAACTTCAACTCCCAGGGGCTCTAATTGTTCTGGCCTCCACAAGAACCTGCACTCATAAGCATATAAACTCTCCCACACACACACACACACACACACACACATACACACACACACCACTAAAAAATAAAGTAAGATAATAGTGAGGGGAAATAAAAGCCAGGTTGATAAAATAAAACCACCCTCAAAGGAAATCAAATTCAAATTCACCTGGAAAAAATCATCCAGAATACAGAATATGATATTAATAGAACTCTGGCCAACCATTCTATGCTATTCTGTGCCCCAGCCAAATTCATATGCAGAACTCTAAGGTTTAAGCATGACTATTGGAGAGATAGGGTCTTTAGGAGGTATTTTGAGTTAAGTGAGATCATCAGGATGTGGTCTGTCCCAACTATACTGAGGTCTTATAAGAGAGCAAGTTCATCCTTCAACTACATAAGAGGACAGAGCAAAACTAAGGTTTAAGCATGACTATTGGAGAGATAGGGTCTTTAGGAGGTATTTCAAGTTAAGTGAGATCATCAGAATGTGGTCTGTCCCAACTATACTGAGGTCTTATAAGAGAGCAAGTTTATCCTTCAACTACATAAGAGGACAGAGCAAAGAAATGAGTCCTTGACACAAGCCAAGCCTGTCAGAAACTTGATCTGGGGCTTTTCCAGCCTCTAAAACTGAAAAGGGGACTTTTAGTGTGTAAACCACTTTGTCCTGCAGTCCCAGGTGGCTGGTACCATAAAGGACCTAATTTATGAGAGGGTAGGTCAAGAAGTCCTAAGATTTCTTTCAATCTAATCCTAAATGATTTGATTTCCCAGCCACTTCCAAAGGTCACACTGTCTGATCCCCTCTATCTTAAACAGATTTTACCTTGAATAAATGGGGTGCAGTTAGCTACCACAGAAAAATCAAAGCCTATAGGACACACACACACACACACATACACACACACACACACACACACACACACACACACACATACACACACACACACACACCCCATCACTGTAGGAGTAATGCTGCCTAAACTTTAATTCTCTGTCTTTAATCTATATTTTTACACACTTAAAACTTATCTTTAAGGTGGAGAGGATAGTGGTCATCGGACTAGGAGGGGGCTGAGAGGTGTGACTGACAAAGGCTAGAAAACAGGACCTGTTAGTAGGGAGGAGCCAGCTCCTGAGTTCTATAGCACAGTAAGGTAAATTTAGTTCTAATATTAATTATAAACTTCAAAATAGCTAATGCACCGAATGTTGAATGTCCCTAACATAAAGAAATGATAATTCTTTGAAAAACTAGTTGTTCAACTTTACTATTATACATTATATATTTGATTTGTGTTTTTGTGTTTTTGGCTTGTTTTGGTTTTTGGATTTTTGAGACAAGGACTTGGTATGTAACCCAGCCTGGCCTTCACCACTGGACCCTTCTGCTTCAATCCCCTGAGTACTAAGATCACAGGCATTTATTGCCACATGGGGCTGTACATGGTATACTTGTATTGAAACATATTATATGGCATAAATATCACAACTACTGTGTTTTCACTGAAGTTTTTTAAGTGAGAAGAAATTGGTTAGGAACGTTGCTTAGTAGGAGAGGGTTTGCCTAGCATGTGTGGGGCCCTGAATGCAATCTCCAGAACCACCAAAATAAAAAAAATTAGCTCACTTAAGAAAAATAATTAGATTGTTTGGAGGGTTTATCAGGGGAGTGCAGCTATTCATATACCCTTGACAGAAGACCTACCCTCCTCTATTTGGGGAAGGTCATCCTCTTCATCCTCTTTGACGGAGCTTGCAGCTTCAGGAGGGATGCACACATGGAGTGGTAAGGGAGGAAGAGGACACAAGCCTAGCCAGCCAAATAAACCCTGGCAATCAATGGGGTAACAGATGCCACAGCCAGATCACCCTCAAACCCACAAAATCAACTAACCAGGGCTCATAGGGACTCACAGAGACTGAACTGACAACCAGGGAACCTGCATGGAACTGACCTAGGCCCTCTGCATATATGTTACACTTGTGTAACTTTGTCTTGTTGTGGGACTCCTGCCTGCTTTTGGGATACTTTCATCTTACTGGATTGCTCCGTCCAGCCGCAATAGGATTGGAGGTGTATAGTCCCACTGCAACTTGATATACATTGTGGCTGGCTGATATTCATGGGAGGCCAGCCCTTTTCTAAATAGAAACAGGAGGAGGATTAGATGGGATGAGGGAAATGGGGGAGGGACTGGGGAGAGAAGGGAAGGGAAACTGCAATGGGGATATAAAAACAAAAAATAAAATAAACAAACAAACAAATAAAAATTAGCTACATACTAAATAATCACAAGTTGGATAGTGCCAGTTTTGTCCATGGGAAACTGCAATGGGGATATAAAAACAAAAAATAAAATAAACAAACAAATAAATAAAAATTAGCTACATACTAAATAATCACAAGTTGGATAGTGCCTGTTTTGTCCATTTTTTGTAACTATGAAAGAAACACATATTCCATACAACAAAGAAAGCAACCATAAATACATTCTAGAATTGTTTGCCTCACCTTAGTGATACATATGCTAAATTTGGGGAATTATAGGGTAGCTCATGAGAATATGAATATAAACATTTCCTTAGATTTGAAGACTGTGTTTATTAAAAGAATATATTAACTGCTACATTTGGTATTTTTCATTCGCCTGAGAGAGTGATTGCTTATATATTGCTTTTAACGTGGGACAATAGGATTGTCAGCCAATGAATAGAGTTTCTGTTTTGCCTCAGAATTAGCATAAATCCCACTCTCATCATGCCATGTGTTGATGCCAAAACGTTTGGAGCCATTGAGGTCTGTGAATTGTGAACGGCACTTCCTGTAGACTATGGAGTAGTCTTCTTGACGAGGACAAGCCTACAGTGAGAAGAAAGAAATATTAGTGGCTGAAGTATTTGTTCAAAGAAACAAGTTCCAAAAGTTTGTTCTTGCGACTAAACAGATTTTCAACAACTGATTATTTGATTTTTACCAAATGTCTCAATGAAGAGCAACCAAACACTGTCTAGGCATTTATAAGTAGTTCCAATCCTGAAAGAAGAATCTATATCACAGTAATTTGATTTTTAAGACTTTAAAATTGTACATTATTTTGCATGTACAAATTTTCTAAACTAAGTACAAGCATGGAGGCCAATTGAAGCATTATGATAATCTAAATAAAACCTAAGTGATTAGGATTAACTACTTTCAACATCTTTTATCAATAAGTCAGGATTATTCTTGTGTTAAATCTTTACTAGTCATTAAGTCATGCTTCCCACAATGGTAAATGCCAATCTCCGAGGTTCATTCCTATGAGAAATTTGACTCAAAACAGCCCAACATAGTTTAAGATGCTTATCTTTAGGCTACTTCACTAAAAAGCTTCCTAGTGATAAAATATGATGTTATTGTTGTCATTTCCCAAGAAAGCACTGGTTCTTCCCAACTACACCAGGAGTGATGAAGATCCACAACATAAAGCCTGATAAAATGAATCACCTGACTTCTGCTTTAAGTCAGTTCTAATATTAAAGCCCAGAACAAGATGAACATGAAACCACTCAAGCTATAAAACCATTAGAGAACACCAAAGACACTTTCATCTTAGTTTTATTTTTTTTTTGAATGGCATTGTAACCATATATTCAACCACAGTGTCCACCTCTTTGTGGAGTGCCCACTATGGGCTGAGCACAATACTTCAGAGTTGTGTCTTCTAATCCAATAATGGGATACTGGGGTTTGATTCTTACTCCCATTTTGCACATAAATAAAGGCTTTCCTAAGCCCCAGGAGAGAATGTAAAGGAAGCCAGTGTTATTGCTGGTTACAAGCCGATCTATTTGACTTCAGACCGACTGTCACTCCAGAAGCATAAACTATGATATCATAGTTTAAGCATAAATTAAGTCCATGATACTGTTCTACATGGTTTGGACTTTGACTTTGCCATTGGGTGCCATATTCAGGATGGAGGGACTTTTCCATTGGCCAGTTGGTTGGTTGGTTGGATGGATGGAAGGTTTGATGGAGGGATGGGGGAATACATGGTCCATCAGTCTTAAACAAGCACTTTAAATGACATTTTGTATTATTGGCCCAAACTATCCACATGAAGGAAGCAGAATCTTCTCATTCCTTTCCTTATTGGGGTCAAACTGAAGAACATTTCAAATACAAGGTTGATGTGTTCCTGTAGCTTCTCATAGGCAGAGGTGAATGACAAGTCAAAGTGTTATATCTTAGGGAAATGATTCTAGAAGCATAAGTATTAAAAGATTAGAGATAGAAAAGACTGGATTCTAAAAAAACTTTTATTGATTCTTTATGGATTTCACATCATGCATCCCAATCCCACTCATCTCACTATTCCTTTGCTTCCTCCCATGATCTTGCAACCTCCTGCCAAAAAAAAATTTAAAAATAAAAACAAAAAAACAAAATAAAACAAAACAAAATCTCAGCATAGAAGCTGTAGAATGGTCCAGTGAGTCACACAGTATACCCTTTAGTCCATACATCTTTACTTGCAAGTGTTCATTGGAATGAGTCATTGGTCTGGTTTGAGGCCTCTGGCTTCTGCTACACTAAAGATAATGGGCCCCTTACTGGGACTCCTCCTGGATATCTTATTGTTGCCTTGTGTTATGGAGATCCTGTAGCTTTGGATCTGCAGGTCCAACCCCTTCACATGTTCCAGCAGTTCATAGATAAGGTGGGTGTTGGGGTGGGTTACCTCATAATCCTGTTCTGGGACTGGATGGTAGCTTCGTTGGTCAGTCTGCCAGCTTTCCCTCATTGTCACCAATGGGGAGAGCTTTCCAACACTGCCTCAGCTAGCTCACCCAATGTAGCAGACAGCAAGGAGTTGGACCAGTACTCCTGCTCTCACACCCTCAGTCCTGCTTATCAGCAGTCATACCACCAGGGCCAGCTCGATTGTTTTCCCAAGTAAGATGTAGGGCCTGTTCTCTGAATTGCTGCACTTGGTGAAGAAAAGACTGGATTTAAGAACTGTGGTTGGAAGTGGGTCTCAATAACTCACACAGCATCTTCTGATGGACGAACAAACAGATACTGTTTAGTACCAAGAGAAATAAAATACTGATGGATGCTATGACATGAGCAAAAACATTACTCAAAGTGAAACAAACCAAACGCTTAAAAGAGATGAATTCTGTAGCATGTGAATTATATCTCAGTAAAAGCGTTGTTTAAAAATCAACATGTGCATTGAAGGGAGTGATTCTAAAGTCAGAAAAACTAGTTAAGAAGACTAGTTTGTTGCCTGTTAACATGTATTACAGCATGCCTGCCAGTTGAACAAATGAGCCAGTGTGCAACAGTAGCCAGTTTCCATGGTATAAATACCCATCCTGTTGCTCATTTAAAGTGACAGAGGTCAGAAAACTAAGGAGGACTTGAGCTTAATCTTTCACACAAAATATTGAGAGCTAACCCGAGCTCTCCCTGAGTTCCCTTTCCCAGTGTGGAGCTGCCAATGTGAAGCAGGATGACCTCAGAACAGAAGTAGGGGCAGAATCTAGTTTACCTAAGAAAATTGGTGTGGTTTCACTGCATCCTTAAGTCAGCAGGTCTTCAAAGAGTAGAACAAATCATTAGGGACCTTGCCAACCTAAATGAGAAAGCTTCTAGACCAGATTGCAACTGGAAGCTTCCCTGCTGCCAGTATATCATGAGATCAAGTTCTTTTTTTCTTTTTATTTATTTTCCGTGCTGCAGATGAAACTCAGGGTCTCTCCAGTCCCTGAAGCCAATACTTGTAAAGAGCAGTTTGGAGAGTCCATAAGAAACAGTATTGACCTTTCCCAAAGTCTAACGTTTCAAAAATGTGAGCCAATTGATTGCCTTTACTGTCTGATTCAGTTTAAGCTGGGTTTTGTGCATCATGCCAAAAGCATCTTGACATAATTTCTCATGCAACATGAGAACACTGAGACCCTTGGACCAAGGAAATGAGTCAGAACCATGACAGCAGAGCACACACTAAAAAGTGGGAGTGAAGGTAAACAGTGGATGAGCTGGTGGCAGGGGAGATGCCTGGAAATCAGAAAGAGCCAAACAGAACAGGTGAACAACACAGGCATTCAGAAACAAAACCAAATTATCAGCAACTGAGATTAGATTCCTCACTGGGAAGTAAAATGAGGAACCTTTCCAAAGCATAATACAAAAGCCTTGAGATGGAACATGAAAAAAGCAGGTACCCCACAGTGACTACAGCTCAGACCCCAAGGCAAAGCTGGGATAGTGGGAGTCCTGAACTCCAGCAAGCAAGCTGGAGTACCATGCAGATCGATAAACAGGGGGAGGTGATTTAAAAATCATTAATGTTTCCCCTCAGTGTGTATAACCACTCATTTGCTCAAAGGGAGTATAAAATGTGTTTCAGAACAATACCAGTCAAAGACCAAAGTAATGCTGACTTGAAGCATACAAAACAAAATTTTTTAGCCAGCAAGGTATTATCCTAGTAAATGAACAAACAGGCTTGAGGAGTCTGAACACCAGCCATCAAACAGCAGATCACAGGGTTCCTTTAAATGTACACAGAAAGCATCCTTTACTCCAATTGTTTATGGAAGAGTCAGGGAGAGAAGACAGAGTCTGAGGAACCTTAGGAAGAAACACTGAGAAAGAAGGAAATCGGGACAGCAGAAAAGGACAATGTTTTCTCTATTCCTGCTATTTAACCATGAAGGGCCCCTTTGTTTTGGACAGGAAGAAGTATAGTGGATAAATAAATAAAATAAATAAAAACAGATAGCCATAGAGGTCTCATGGCCCCAACCCAGTTGAGAACTCTTAAAATTGGTGACCTGTAATATTGCCTCTCACTTACTTTGGATTGTCAGGCAGAAGGGACCTCTGAGAGTCATCTATCCTGAGCCACTTTGGGTATCACGGGGAGGCCAAGATCGGAAAGGAGCTGCGGTTTTGGAAACGGGATGTTAATAAAGACAGCAGAGCTGAGCATTGGAGTAGAGACAGAATGGGAGTCACAGATGCTTCTGTGGCATCTACAGTACCAGTCAGAGTAGAAAGTGAGCCAGGCGATCTCCACCCAAGATAAGAAAGGAAAGGGGCTGTGAGTTTCAGCGTTGATCAATGTTAGCCATTAGTGACAACAAGGAAAGAGCACCAGGTGGCCAGAGACAAACACAGATAGAGAACACCACATGTAAACTCCACTCTTCTCAGGAATCATGATGCTGAACATGTACCTTTCACTATAGCTAGATGTCCTTTTAGGGAAAGTTACCATCCCTGCTGCTCCATAACAAGCCATCCAACTCTGGTAATATAAATGGCCATTCTACAACACCTCCAGATTCTTTGGGTGTCTAGGGTACACCCTAGACACAGTGTCTAGGGCATCAGCCGGGATGACCTGAAAACTGAGGGTGCCTTGAGGGCCAGGACCTGGGAACTTTCTCTCATTGTGGTTAGTAGTTGGTAGGTTTTCACTGGGATCTGCTCTAGGCTACTGGCTGGAATGACTGCACAGGCCCTTCCTGTGTGCTTCCTTGGGCTTCCTCAATGATGACCAAGTTCTGAGAATGAACTCGACACAAAGTGAATCAGGAGGAATGCACATTGCTTTTCATCGTCTAGATTCAAAACACCATTTCCAGCAGAGACACAGCTCACCCAGATTCCACAGTAGGAAGCTGACTCCCCTTCTCAGCAAAAGCCATTCATCCTGGTCGCGTGGAACACAGATTTTAGTCATTTTTGATACACTAGGTTCTCTCCTCCTTTTAAGGAGAAGATTAAGTTGGACCAAGAACCTCAAATCCCCCTTGAGTATAATGATTTTTCTAGGAAGACTCACAGTGTGTATCTGGATT